CTTGTTGTACTTCGTTCAGTGCGTATTGCTAAATCCTATGACATTTTTACAAAAGTGTATATTTTTAATATTATTTGCTTGGAAACATAGTGACTTCAATAGTTAATCTGTCATAAAATATTCGTTATATCTCCGTCGAATAATTTAAGTAATAAATTAATCAATGTTTTGGAGAATAAGGCTATATATTGATAGTATTATATAGAATTATACATAATATATGTAATTACTAAATATTAAAATCTAATTTATAATTTTAAGATTGAGTTTTATTTAATTATTTTAAGCTATTTGTACTATTACAAGTTGTAATAATGAGTTTAATATAATTTAAATCGTATTAATTTAAGATCAGAGATGAACAATTCAAATTCTATAATTGCATTGATATGTGAAATGTTGAAAACTTCTAAACTTCATCCTATCAACACATAATTATATGTGGTTAAAATTTACTATAAAAATTTAATTCAATTAAAGGATTTCAAGCTAACTATTCAACGATTGATATAAGTAAACAATAGAAATATTGAACTGAATTAATAATTATAATTATAATTTGATTTTAATACTTTAGCATGTGGTGGTATTTTGAAGGAACCATCTGGTATCATATTTTCGCCGAAAAATCCAGAAAAATATTTACACCAACAAATGTGTAAATGGGTTATATCTGTAAATGAATCTAGTTTAGTACAAATAAATTGGTTATCTTTTTCATTAGATAGCAAACTTACTTGTTATAATGATTATGTTGAAATATATGATAATAGTGTTCAAGGAAATGCATCGAAAATTGCTAGGTAAATATGTAACTAAATAGATGCGCTTATATAACTAATTCTACAAAATTAAATTCCTTTAAAAATATATTTAAAATTTACATCTAACAATTTTTAGATATTGTGGAAATAAAGTACCACCAGTATTGACTTCATTAGGTAATCGTTTAACAATTGTTTTTCAAACTGATCATTTAGGAGCACTAGATGGTTTTATGTTAAATTATACTTCATTAAATAAAGCACAAGGTATGGTTGCTATGTTCAGTTCTATATATATTTCTCACCTAAATAATATTGGTTCATATTTTTGCAGAGTGCGGTGGAAATTTTTTCACCCTAGAAGGTTTTATTATGTCACCAAATTTCCCAAATAACTATCCTGCACGAAAAGATTGTACATGGACTATAAATGTACCAATTTCAAATCAAATTGAACTAAACATTACAAAATTTTTTCTTGAAGAAAGTTTGAATTGTGAATTTGATTATGTTGAAATACGGTAGACATACATAATTTAATTAGGTAAGAATTATTAATATGTGTTATATATAATATATGTTTATAGAAATGGAGGATATTCTACATCGCCGTTAATTGGGAAATATTGTGGATCTAAAATTCTTCCTATTATCTCTTCAATTGGAAATTCACTTTTTATACGATTTGTATCTGATGGAACTTTTACAAGTAAAGGGTTTTTTATGCAATGGTATACAGTTACCAAAGGTATATAGCTAAATTAAATTAAATTTAAATATACATATAATCCATATAAAATATAACATAATTAAAAGGTTGTGGTGGAACATTGAATTCTGGTATTGGCCATATCGTATCTCCTAACTATCCACTGCCTATAATAGAAACATTAGAATGTTTTTACAAGATTACTGTGTCACAAGGAAGTAAAATCAAACTTAGTATATTAGATCTAGAATTAGTAACAGATAATTCTCCTGGATTATTGTGCAAAGACGATTTTTTGAAGTACGTATTAATTAAGTTTAAATACTTATATGAGGTAACATGTATCTTAAGTCTGAATAATAAATTAATGTCTTATATATTTTACGTCCCAGATCTTGTATTTAAACTTGTTCTAGAATATATAGGCAAGTTTTTACAATTTAATTTTTAGAATTTAAAATTTACCAATTTGTTATCAATATTTTTATTTAAGCTGACCATTTAAAATTCAAAATTACTTAAATATTGTGGTAATGTATGTAATTAAATTGAAAATTATTCTTGTGATTAAATTGTATATAAATTGTAAGTTATGATTTTACAGTTTTATGATGGTGAAAGCTCTACTAATAAATTATTAGAACATTTTGTAAAGATACTAATGTATCTCAAATTTACATTCCACATCAAATCAAATGTATATTAAATTTAGAAATAGTGGTTTTTCTAATGGTAGAGGTTTTCGTTGAAATATACTACTGGTTTGTATGAATTTATTTAATAATAATAAATAACTGTGAATAATTTATTTCTAAGTTATATTACAACAATAAATTCATAATTTTTTTAGATTGTATTGTAACTTTAAAAGGATATCAAGGTGCGATTGAATGCCTAACAGAGAAGATACAAATGCAGATAAATGTGTTTGGACAATTGCACCTAAAGGAAGTACAATTAATGTGACTTTACTATTTTTATATTGAAAAGTTTCACAATGGTACCAAGCTATCTAAGTGACAGTGACAACGAAAATATACATACCAAACTTTGATTTTTTCCTCCACGCGGCCAATTAAGGTATTGGGTGACATTTTTATATAATATATATCTGATATTATACAAATTATAATTTTGTATTAGTCATTATGATTGTAAAGATTAGATTGTGTCAAGTTGGTAGTTTAGGGGTTTAAAATTTACACTATTATTAGAAATATTTGGGAAACTAAACCAAATGAACAATACTTTTTTGCTGTTGGTAGTTTCAAAAATAATAGCTGTGGATCATTGGTATTTTTACGAAGTGTGTAAAAAATATAAAATTAACAAATATTATAATTTTTTATAGACGTATTAGGTATAAATTATGTAATCACAAAAATCTATTGGAATTTAAAAAAATTATTCAACTAACTATATTACTAATAGAAAAATATATTATCGATAGAAAAAAAAATATACATTATAAAACATCATTAGAAATATAAGTTGATATCGTATTTACTCGAGATCGTTTATTGTATAAAATTAATTTTTCTTTATTGTTAATTTAAATTTAACACATAATTTATACTGATTTATTAAATAATGAAGTACATTCGAAACCAACTATAAACTGCAGAATAGCTTTTCTTTTCTAAATATTATAATTTCTAAATTATAAATGTATTGATAAGTGGTTTAGTTGACGTTCACCCAGTAAATATTTACTTTACCCGCTACTTTTTTCTTTCGAATTTTCGATGTTTTAATCATTAAATTATTATGTTATATCAACTACGTGAGAATAAAAATAATTTAAATTATATTAATTTCATAACTAGGCAGTGTGTGATATTAATTTTATTCAGTTTGTGAAAATTAAATTAATTATATTTTTACGTATTTTGTTTTATGGTTAAAATAAATAAAAAATGATGGACAAGAACATAGTTAATATTTAAAACTATTTATTTATAATTATATAATAATAGGAAATTATAGAGTTTAAATATGAATATTGAAGAACCAAATTAAACTTAAGAGATGCTTGTATAACATTTTTTTTCATACCTAAAAAATATTAGAAAATCTCAATTAGTGTTATATTAGCTGTTCGTTTACACTTCATTGCCCGATAAGAAATACACTTTTTAAATTATTCAAACATTGTTCAATTCGATATTTGTTAATAGATGTAATGATATTCAAAACTATAACAAAAAAAGGTATTTTATAGTTTATGTTTAAAAAATGAAACGTAAGACTTAAACATTCAATGACGAGGTACAATCTAATTTACTATAAACACTAAACAGTGAAAATAATCCTCGATTTTTTTCCAAGTTAACATTTTAATTATAATTGTTAACATTTTTTAAGTTTCTTAAAATGAAAATTTTATACATTTTTAACCAAAAAATAAATTTTAAAAATATTAATGAATTTTTCATATTTTATCAATGTTTGAACTTCAAAAACTTACAATAAAAATTATTCATTAATAATTTTGATATTTTTAAATGTATATAAGAACAATATATGAAAATTTTTTAATTTCCAGCTTTTTTATCTATAAATATACCTAGTAATATTTTATCGACATAGATCGAAAAAAAAAACACTATTAAAATTAGACAATTTCAAATTTCTATTAAGTGTCAAAAAAATTTTAAATTTAAGTTGTGATTAAAAATATCTAATACCTATAAACAATTAGTAATTTTTTTGTAATTACTATAAAAATAATTGGGTTTTCCATATTTTTACCACATAAAGTAACAACTAGACTTAATTTCCTTTCAAAAACCATTGAATTAAATTTTAAATTTAAAATAAGTGTCGCTGTCACTTCACTAAGAATTTTACGACGAAGATAATTAACAAGTTTAACTTAGAATAAAAAATAAAAGTCCTAACAGCTATTAAGGACATAAATTCCTGTTAGTAATATTTATTTGTATTTCATTAGTTGGTATTTGGGTTTCTTTATTTTAAGTCTTAGACCAAAATGTAAAATTGAGTATTGAAATAAAGTATAAATAATTAGAAAAAACTATTATAGTAAAGAGGTTAAAACTTTGGCTATTGTATATATTTATAGATATCCTGTATCGCATTTCTTTCATGATCTTTCAAGTTTTCGTTTTCGGTTAACCTCTGATGATTATTATTATCATCATTGCGAGGATACTAAGTTATTTGTAAGCATATAAACATTTATACGATTAAAAATTATTTTATGGATTTTGATAGTAATTTAAATTTTTATTCATAGATTACTGAAGGAACAGATAGGAATAAAATGAACACCGTTTTGTGGAAAAATAATTGTTCCATAGAAACTCATTCTGTAATATCTTCAACTAAGAACATTGTTGAAATTACTTTATTATTTAAGGATATTTATGATAATTTTCGTATCGAATGGATAGTAAATGGTTGTGGTGGTGTGTTAAATAAATTGCAAGGAGAATTTACATCACCTGAATATCCTAGATATTATAGTTCTAGTACTACTTGTGAATGGAATATTATCGTCGATTATGGATATATTATAGAGATAACAATACAAGATATATGGTTTGAAACTTCAGGATCTTGTTTAATTGATTATATAGCTGTATGTAAATAGGTGTGTTTAAATAGTATAATGTTAACAAATTTTATGTTACTTTTAGTTTTATAGTGGGTATGATGATTCTGGTATAGAATTATTAAAAACATGTCACAAACAAATAAGCCCAATTACATTAACGACTAGTGGAAATGAAGCTTTCGTAAGATTTGAATCAGGCGAAGATGCTCAGAGAAATCGTTTCAAAGCTACGTATAAAAGAATTGAATCGAGTATGTGTGCATTTTCTTCTATTCTTATTTTTAAATAATTATTCTATCCATAATTGTATATTTGATTAAGTATAATTAATTTTAATTGTGTTTATGTTTGTTAATAATATATATATATATATATATATATATTATAGTTGTCTAGAAATATTTTATATACTGTAATAATTATCAATAAATTATGAGTTCAATTCATATCCTCAAAAATGTATTAAAAGTATGAAACCGGAAATAAAACAATAATACTTAAGTAAAAGTTAAATTAAGAATTATTTTTCATAAATATTATGCGATAAAATTAATATTTTCATAGTTAACTATTTTGGCTAAAAATCAAAATATATCAAAACTCATATTTTTGTTTAATATGCATTAAAATACTTTATCAACCAACCAAACTAATATAAATGTTTATAATAGTGAAATAAAAAACAATGATTATATTTATGTATTTAAAATTATCATGATATTAATTTAGCCAAGTATTTAACCATTAAGGCTGGAATTTAAAAAAAAAAAATTGGAAAAAAATTTAAAATTATACTACAGTAGTTTATTATTATTATTAATATATTTTTTTTTAATAGTATTGTTCATTGTTACTTGATTAGTTCTGAGTTCTGTTGTACTTCTGTAGATTTCTGAAACATTCATTATAAATAATGATTAAAAAAAAAAATTGTAATCGATGATAACTCATTGTGCTACATAATTTATTATTTGTACTATCGGGGTTTGCCGAAAGTCTTTTGTTAATCGCAACAATTTTTGTTTATTTTATGAAAAATTGTGAAAATGCTCTAAAGATGCGTTTAAGGTTAATTTTGTCAAAAAATGCAAAAAAAAAATTACTTAAAAATAATCAATTTCACTCAAAACACATTTTGTACTTACTAACCATCGTTTCAAAACACCAGAAAAAAGATGCTTTTTGCATTAAAATCCCAGCTTTAATAATCATTTTATGCTTATTTGGTTTTCTTTTTTAAATTTTTAACAAAAATTTTTAAAGAAATTAAAAAATCTATTCTTTATATTTTCCATCTGACTACAGCTGGTAAATTATCAGCAAACATAGTTTTCTATAATTTAAAATAAAAGAAAAGTTTGTTTGATTATTAAATTTTTTTTTTGTAGAATGTGGTGGAAAATTTACTGCTCCTCAAGGAGTTATTCATACTAACAATTATCCACAAAACTATGATTCTAACAGTTCTTGTATGTGGTATATTGAGATTGCAAAAACACATTTAATTAATTTTACATTCGTTGACTTTAACACTCAAAGTTCTAATTCAGGAAACAAAGATATTGTTCTAATATACGATGGCGATATTCATGGGAAATTACTCCTTAATCATTCTGGAAATAGTATACCACCTCCGGTTATATCTTCATCTAATATACTCCTTGTATCCTTTGTAGTTGATAAACATGACTTCCAAGCAAAAGGGTTCAAAGCAATATATTCTACGGTAATCCTTATTAGTTTTAATGTGTATAACTGATTTAATATTATATTAAATTTGCTTTTTAGGCTTGTGGTGCAAAATTAATAACAAATGATTCAGGAATTATTACTAATAACCCATATTTTACAAATGGCGTATCTGAGAACTGTACTTGGATTATTATATCTGATATTCCACAGTCAAAAGTCACATTAACGTTTACTCATATTGATATTGTACATTACTTAGAAAATATTACGAAAAATTCAAATATAACTAATTACCCCTGTTCTAATGATTTATTTCACACAATTTTTCGAATTTTGGATGGTCCTGATTCTGATGCACCTGAAATAACTAAATTTTGTAAGTCGAATCCAATACCACCACCTATTGTTAGTAATGGGCCGGCTATGCGTATAGAGTTCACCGATAACTCTGCTGCGTATGATTCATTTAATGCTTTGTACTCCGTAAGATCAATAGGTATGTATAAGTGTGCTAGAATTTTAATCCTCATTATAACTACTTATATATAACTATATTTTGTTTTCATTAGCCTGTGGTGGAACTTATGATTCACTAAGAGGAACGATTTCTTCGCCCAACTATCCAAATAATTATTTCAGAGACTCTGAATGTGTTTGGATATTAAAGTCTTCTGTCGGAAATCGTATATCTTTGAATTTCATTGTTTTTGAATTAGAAGAAGACGAGTTTTGCAATGAAGATTATGTAGAAATTAGAGAAGGAGATTCTATGGGTCCAGTCTTGGGTGTTTTTTGTGGACCAAATTTGCCATCTAATATCACTTCGGGTTCATCCCTTTGGGTCAAATTTCGTTCCAATTCTCTTGGCTCAGCTAAAGGATTTACTGCAGATTTTAAATATGGTAAGAGTAATATTACTGTATAACATTTTTTTTTTGTTGAACTAAATAGCCTTAAAAATATTTATGATAGCTACTGGAATCTATAAGTCTCAGCAGTCTGGTGAAATTTCTAGTCCATTGTATCCCAGAACATACAGAGATAGTGATGATTATTCGTGGACAATAACGGTAGATCAAGGAAAAAGAGTTCAAATTTTGATTAATGACTTAATTTCTACTTCTGATATTCACGAATTAAAAGTAAATTAATACTCTGATGCAATTATCTTATAATGTTTTTATAAATTGATAATTTTATTTTTATTTTTAGATATACGATGGAAGTGATGTTGAAACATTAATTTTATTTGGATCAAGTTCTACAGATTATAATTTAGTATTAAATGAGGCTATTACATCAACCGATAACACTGTTTTCATACGACTAACAGCAGGCGATACAAGAATTGGAGGGATACGGTTTTTACTATCGTGGACACAAATAGATGGACTAAATTTGAACACACTTTTACCAATGTCGACATTTAAATGTAAGTGAAAATGTAAACATATAGTTTTAAATCTCAAAAATAAAAAATGGTTTTATAAGAATATAGTGAGCTTAAATAAAATAGCAAAAATAAAAATCTTCTTGTTTACAGTTGAAAATACAAGTTTTGACTATTATTTATCACCGAACTCTAATACAAATGTAACTATTACAAGTCCTGGTTATCCTTATGGTTACGCACCGAATTTAAATGTTACTTGGACTATACACACGGAATCACATTATCATATTGATATTGAAATTATTGACATAGATTTTTATCCCATTCGTTCGTCTTCAAATATGTATAGTGGAGATTATCTTGATGTAGTAACTGGTATTATTAATTATTTCATTATATTATTATTGTTTTTAAGCTAAATTATTATTGTAAGTATTTAACTATTGTAATAATTCTTCTTAGCTAAATATTTTCTAAATGGATTTTAATATTTACTAATATTTTATTTATTTTTTTGAAACTATAATGTTAACTGTTTTGTAAACACAAATTGTTTTTAAATCAATAATACAGAATTAATTTTATAGTATTTTATACATCATAGTATATAATATATGAATATTTTCGATTTAGTCGATCCTGATACGAAAAATACAGTACTGTTGAAAACATTTTATACACATATAAATCAAATTAATGATATGAATATAGTTGGTAAGAATAAAGTAGTATTAACTTTCATTTCGAACGAGTTATTTAATGGTACAGGATTTAAAGTTGAAGCAAAATTAAGTATGTTCAATTATCTATAATATTAACTGTACTCTTTATTTAAGAACAGGGAAATATTCCTAATTTGTTTATGTTATTACAGAATGTGGAGGTCAATTACGAGGACCAACAGGAGTCATTAGTTTATCTAATACAACAATTTTTTTTGGGTCACCGTACTTGTATCAACTTCATTGCACTTGGAATATCACTGTACGACCGGGAAGAACAATTTTAGTGAAACTTATGACCATAAAGTTATCTCCACATAATTTATGTGTAGATAATTATGTTTTGGTAAGTAAGCCCTGTAAATTGATTTCCAAATTATTCTCCTTCATCTTTTTTTTTTAAATTTCAAGTTGCGTTAAAAAATATTGAAATTATTATAACAAAAATTATTTTGTTATTTTATATTTAACAAGTATTTTATGTAGATATATATTATTTGGAATTTTAACATATTTTTAAATTATAAAACAATATATTGCATTTATTCATAACCCTTCATACAATATTTTAGTTGAAAAATGGATTTTACAATGATTCGTCTTTTATTGGAAAAGGTAAATACTGTAATGAATTTGAAGAATCTGATGAATCAACATTATCTACTACTGATAATAAGTTACAGATTAATGCTGTTCTAGTTAAAGGAGATATAGTAAGTTTAATGGTGTATACTGTATGACTTTTGTTAGAATAAAGAAATTGAAATGTATGATGATAAATAATTATTATAATGATAAAATTTACTTAAATTCACTGTTTATCTTAAATATTTCTTGGATACAAAAACATATATTTAACTTTTCAATTTAGATTAAAATAGCATATGAAGAAAAGTCAATTAATTGTGGTGGACAAATTTACTTGAACGATGTATACAATATCACCCAAATCACATCTCCTTCATATCCAAATATACCTCCAGCACACATAGAATGCATTTGGACGGTAGTTGTACCAACTGGCGAACGGATATCTGTGACCATTGAAGACTTAGATTTCTCTGTTAGTGAAATGTAAGTGGTATTAATGTTATTATCTTTCTAAAATTCAGTTATAGATGCTTATAGTTTTAAAAATTAGGTTTATTGTACATCACTAAACTTATATAAAATGATGTGCTTAAATCGTTAGTCATTACCACATAAAATTATAAAATGTAAAGCAAAAAATGAGTACATTTATAATTTTACAAATTAATTTCATAATGTAGCTTTAAATTTTTGCTTAAAAATTTTTCTTTTGTACAATAGACTTCTAAGTATATAATATAACAGTATTTCAACATATAATAAAATATTTTAATTATAGTATTCACTCGAATAGTGATAACATATACTTAGATAAAATGAATTTTTTTAAATATTCATTGTAAGATTAATGTGTATTAGTTCCTGATATATTTACCTAAACAAAAAAATAAGTAAATATAATTTCTAGTTTATCTGAATAAAATTAGCCGATTGCTAAACATTCAAACTTATTTTTTTACTACCAATTTAATAAATTGTGTCTAAATAAATAGATGTGAAATAGAATATTTGGAATTCAGAGATGGTGCAGCTCGATTTTCACGATTAATTAATCATATTTGTCAGAGTTCAGACATTCAAGATATCGAAACTACAGACAAATTTTTATTTATTAAATATTTCACAGATTTAACTATACCCAGCAATGGTTTTAAACTGAATGTATCTATAGGTAAATATTATTGTTTTTTAATTATACTTGTGTAATTATCTATATATTATTTTAAGCACTAGTATGAACATATTTAAATTGCTATCATGCTGTTCTTTTTTCTTATAATAAATTACAATTTTGTTTTAATTAAACCTCAAAAATTTGGGATGTGTTATAAACAGATATTTCAATATTTTTGATTATGATTTTAGAATTAAGTAACAGCGCGTAAGATTTTACATCACCGCCGTAAACTTTTTAGTTTTAAAGAATTAAGCAATCTACATAAATTTATATTTTAGTAAATGCATTTAACCTACATAAAATGTTTTTTTCATAATTGTTTTAGTTACAAAATTTGCAAATTCTTACTGTTTTTATGTAATGCTCAAAGTGAATATAAAAAAAAAAAAAAAAAAATAACATATCAAATTCATAAAATATTTTGTTTTCAAATAGCGAAATGTGGAGGTACTCGACGTGCATCTCAAGGTATAATATCGTCGCCTAAGTATCCCAGTTCATACGAATCGAACATGGATTGCGAGTACAAGATTATTGCTGGACCCGATATGCAAGTTGTATTGAAATTAGAGACAGTGAATCTTAACCGTCGGAATCCAAGAATTGGAAAAGTCGAAGATTTAATAAACAACGAAAATTTTGACGACACTTTAACTATATTCGATGTAGACCCTTTTAACAAAACAAGTAATATCTATATTTTTACAATATTGTCTATTTAAGATTTATGAAATAAGGTACATACATGTTTATTTTTCTAAATACAGTACATATAATATGTATTATGTGTTATGTTATTATAATTTACAAATCTATATAAATTCTAAGTTTATATTGTTTAACTTGCTTTTTGAGTAGAAATTCAATCCATTTAAATAAAATAAATAAATTTTTATATTATTATTATTATTATTTAGAGGTGAAAATATTAACAATTTTTGGATCCGATCTACCATTAAAAGACTTTAGATCATCCGGTCAAGAATTAATTATTAAGTTCAAATCACACATTATAAATGGGCCATTTCGTATGAACAACACAAAAGCAAAATTTTTAATGTCATATCACACCGAGTATATTGGTAATTTAATTAATATTGACATTATTTGTTAAGGTACTCCAGTTATAATAACCAATTATTTGAAATAAGTCTTATTGAAAGAGTTTTTATTTTATCAAAAACAGTCACAAAGACAGATTTAACAATTTGTCGCCCCTGTGCCAAAAAAAAAAAAAAAAAAAAATTGCTGCCCTTATTTAAAAAAAGTTATCTCTGTACAGCAAAATTTCCTTACATAATATAATTTTCTATGTATTGTGTAATTATTTTTTTATTTAACTATAAAGTTCAATAAAAAACGTTTTGAATCAAGTATAATATTTTATTTTACAGTAAAAAATAATAATAACTTTATTAAATAATTATTGGGTTATATAAGTAATTTTAATGTGAATTATTTATTTTGAAATTGAAAATTTCAAGAAAAAAATTAAGTATTTTTTTTTATAGAAAAACAAAATTAACATTAAATATAATTTTGCTGCTTATAAAAAGCCACCTACCAAAAATTTGCCGCTATATGCAGCTGCATATTTCGCAGCGACTTAAACCCGCCCCCGATTACAGTCGCAATATTAATAATTTATGAAGTTTGAAAAATCATTTATCTGTATTTAATCTTCATATTCTATTTAATATATATTAATCTTTCTGTATTTATTGTTTAATAGATTGTGATAAAGTTTATGAAGCTGAAAGTGGTGAAATAACCAATACTCTCTATAATAGTATAAGTTATGAAGGAGTGCATTGTTCTTATATGATTAAGGTACCCAAAGGACGTAGAATTACAATAGAAATAATCAAAGGAAACTCGCTCGCTTTAACTTGTGAAAAGAATTATTCTCCAGAAAATATGTTTAAAGAAAAACTCAAAGTAAATAAATATAATTAATTATGTTGTATAGATTTAAAAATTAAATAGTGAACCTTTGTAGAGATATTTAAATTTTAAATTATGAAAGTCCGAAATCAGTAACATCAATAATTTATATTTTGTTGAATGTAATCATAGGTTTTTCAAGTAATAAGATTAACTTCTCATAATATTCGGAATATTGCATGCATTGACCCTTTTATTAATCCTTTATCATTGAACTATATGTATGAATCAATTTCAAACGATATTATAGTGATTCATCAAAGTGAAAAAGGTAATACAAATGGTTTTCGGCTAAAATTCTCATCAGACAAACCTGCAAGTAAGTAAACATTTTTTTAAATATTTCTTATACAAAGATATGACATACATAAACCTAACTTAATTATGGAAAACGTGCATTAATTAATTTCGGAAAATTTAAAATTATGTATATAATATTCTAACGTTTAATAGTAGGTATAAAATGTCTGGTTATATCCAGACAGTGTTATATTATCTATGTTATTATTTTAATGCATTTATTTAATTAAATACTAAAAATAAGATAGTTTTTTCAATTCAAAACACTGTAACAGTAATTTACGTACTATTATGCCTAACATTTTATATTTTTCAAATATTTAATTGTATTTTATATTTTATAATATCATAATATTGCAAAATATGGAGATGCAGATATTTAATAAAACACAATTATTATTTATTATAATTTAAAAAAATATACATTTAAATAAACTACAGTATAATATCTTTATAATTTTATAGTTTGTGGAGGTATAATAGATGCCAGCATCAAAGGTAGATTAGAATTTCCAATTAGAAATTTAACCAAGGGTTATTGCCAATGGGATCTTACAAACACAAATGGAACAATTATAATATCAACAAATTTTAAAGTTAACGAAAACCAGTTGAGTTGCAAAGATGAAAATAATTATATCTTACTGGCTACTGATGGTAGGTATTTATTTTAATATTGTAATTTTTTAGATGTTTTGAAAATATGAATTCGTATTATATTGTTTAGAAGACGATAGTGTATTACTAAAAAGGTATTGTCCAATATCAAATACGAACGACAAGTTTACAATTTTAAGTCCTATGCCTATGGTTAAACTTTTGGTAATACATTAAAACTTTCAATTAAACAAAAAGAATAAACGGATAGATAATAAATAATGAGCTCATAAATATTTTAGGTTTTAACAGCTTTAAGAAAAATTAACTTCACAGGGATTATTGATTACAACGTTAATTCATGTGGTGGAGAAATAAATGGACAAAAAATTACAATAACCAGTTCTAATTATCCTAAAAATTTTGGTCAAAATTTAAAATGTGCATGGTATTTAAAACTTCCAGAAGGTAACAATGTTAATGTAAGTAAATACCAATGATAAATATTTAATTATATAGGTGTATGTATGATATATTATTTATTGATAAAAACTATTTGTTATCATTTCGAATTAATAAGAAATATGTATCCAATATAAATTACATTTAAAAAAAAATACTATATTTATATAATTTTTTATCAAAGTCTTAAAGTAACTAAAATATAGATTATACTTACACGCTAAGAAAATAATTAATTTTTTAGGGAAAGTTTATTGCGTCATTACAGAAATTAAAAACAGTTTGATATTTCTTTTATTGCACAGAAAAAAATTGAATCATAAAAAATATGTTTTTGATGGTAGTTATTCCAGTAAAACAAATAAATTGTGCAAAAAAAAAAATTTAATACCTATATAATAAGTATAGTCTATCGCGTAACGCAAAGTTGGTTAACAAAATGCTATTTATTTGTTTGTTAATGTCTGAATGCAATACAAATTGTAATGCGACATATACTAAGTGAAATTGTTCGTAAAATAGTCGATATAATCGTATAATGATATGGTTTGATTTGCATTTTAATTATAAAAGTCATAAAAAAACATCGTATCCAGCCCAAAAACATAACATTTATTTTCTATTATTAAAATTTTTATTTAATTGTTTTGGAGTTTTTTTAATATTAACGTGTCGTTTAAAATAACTGAAATATTTACATGATATAAATCAAATTTGGTTGTATTTTTTTTAAATTTAATTAAGAAAAATGTAAATATAAATGTATTTTTGTTAAAATGTTATACAAAATAATATTATATATTCGTAAATAATTCTGCACAAACTAAAATAAAAATAAAATTTGAATTATTTTTTTTTTTTTTTTTTTAGATACGTTTTAATGATATTGATCTCGATCCATCATGTGATAATAATTATGTCATGATATATGATGGCCCTAGTCCTGAAAGTCCTTTACTTGGAAAATATTGTGATAACATTTTACCGGATAATTTAATAGCTGTTTCAAACGAATTATGGGTTGTATTTTCATCTGAAAATGAAAAAAGTAACAGGAGAGGGTTTAATTTAACTTTAGAATCAAATCAAAATGGTTGTGGAAATATGTATTTTATGGACAAAGGAGAATTTTCTACTAGAAATTATCCAAACTTATATCCAAACAACGAAGAATGCGAGTGGACTATAGCAGTATTCCCAGGAAACAGAATCAGTTTGCAATTTATTGAACGTTTTAATCTGGAACAAAGTGTAAATTGTACTAAAGATTATGTGCAAGTAAGAAAATATGTATACATTGTTATATAGTAAATTATCTATTAGCTAATTACATATAATTGTTATTGTGTTTAATATCGAGTGTTAAAAAAAAAATTATAGTAAAAAGTTATACTGCCATGTGTAAAAAATATATTTTAACTTTCTAAAAAACATTATTTATTTGTAATAAAATAGATTTTTGAATTCATAAATGATATTTGGATTCCACTTGGAAATCGATTGTGTGGTCGTCAAATTCCACCACAATTCAACTCATCTGAAACAAAACTCAAAATTCGTTTACGAACTGATAATGATATACAAGGTGATGGCTTTAAAGTAAGTCAATGTCTTATCATATTTATAAAATAACGTTTAATAAAAAAAATATATTTTTTTATTTAGATCAAGTGGAATAGTTTTTGTGGTGGAGTTTTTACTCAAAATATCGGTAAAATTATTTCCCCTAACTATCCAAAAGTGTATCCGAATAATATAGAATGCAACTATACAATAACGGCCCCCGGAGAAGAAATAAAATTAATTTTTAATTCGTTTGAAATGGAAGGTATAATTTCTATTTTTATTTGTTATTTATATTATTTTCATATACAATTAAAAAACCTCGTTAAATATTTATTTTTTTAAAAACTAAGAACTTTCCATGATATAATGTATAAATATATACAAATATATATATGTGTGATTAAAAAATATATCGACGAGGTGTGATAACTTAAATATATTAATCATAGGTTGCTAAAAGATATTCAATATATATATATATATATATATACATATATTGTTTTGATAAGATTTTTTGATCATTTTTTTTTTTATTTGCTATTTAGTATTGTTTGCTAAAGGTGAGCTAAACGCAAAACTTAACACAAAATTATAACGTTAGAACTTATAACTTTTATTTGATCTTTGTAATTTTTTGATTGTTATGGAAACTGTAACGCGAAATTGATCAGCATAAAGGTGTATCCAGCCTTGAAAAAACCTTAAATATTTATGTTAATTAAAAACTAACAACTTTTAATGTACATAAAAAAAAAAAAAGTAATTATCGTTTTTATGAATGCGCAGATCGGAGATGTATATATGACAATTTAACAATATACAACAAGGCAGGTGTGTTTGACGATCAAACAAAATATTTCGTTGGCATATATTGTGGGAGTAACGTACCACATCCAATGACATTTGCGGATAGTGTCATGATAATATTCAAGACGGACGATTATCTTACCTATAGTGGATTTGAAATACAATATGCGATTCAAAGTATAAAACCAATCTAATATTTAATTTTTAAGCCTCTATACGTCGTATGATTGATATTTTAATAAAATGTAATCTATTATTTATCTGAATATCTATCTTCTAATATGTAATCTACCATAATACTTATAAAAGTATAATATGCAGTGTATAATTTAAATTTAATTGACCTCGATGATTTAACGTAAAATAAATAATTGTAATAGTTAAAATTAAAATTAAATAATCAGTTTAAAATGCATACGAAAATAAGATAAAAATATAATAATGATACTCATATTAATAGATTAAAAATAAAAACATGTATTATATTATTTATATTTATGTAACTCAACTGGCTTCTCTAATTGAGAATAAATTAAAATTTCTGTTACTAGTATTTTAAAAATTTCATTATAATTTATTGATATATCATACTAGTTAGTAGTCGGAGTAGTTCGCTATAATACACGATAATAAGCTACAACGCATCACTGGTGTTAAGTTAGCGGTTACTTTGCTAGTTTCCGCGTGAGTTACAATCTAGAAATTTTAGCAACACACACGCCATGTCCTATTTAGTTATAGGTAATCGTCGAGATCAAATAATCTCTAGCTAAAAATCTCTAAATATATACATATATAAAAAGTCAAATTTTTTAAAATAATAAACACAACAATTATAATTCATAACAATGTATATATCTTAGCTGAAAATTCTACAAATCATTGATAGACAGTATATTATTGCACACATATTTTCAGTAAGTGCTATAGATGCACATAATGACGGTAAAATGCATAATGTTATATATTCAGTTTAGTTTATCAAACATAAAATTCATACAAAACCATACTAATAAAATATGTTTATTAATATTTTGTTAATTGTCTTGTTAAAATTATAAAACTTAATGATGAAGTAAAAATTTGAATAGAATATATTTTATAATAGAAGTTTTATAAAATTAATCATTTCCATGATTATATTTTCAAAATCATAATAGCTTCTGTTTATAACAATAAAAAAGAATAAATAAATATATAGTTTGGATTCGTTATAAAAAGAAGTTTATAAAAGTTTTTTTTAATTATTATTATTAAAATTGCTAATAGGTTAATCATCATGGTATCGATAATATAAATTTGTTATAAGTTTGGTTTTATATTGGATTACGAAAATAACCACAACATATATATACAATAATTGTAGACTTATTTCAAATTTTTAATTAATTTAATGGTAATTGTTATACTTTTTTTGTACAGAATGTGGAGGAGAAATTACAAGCCCGGGAATTATTAAATCCCCATTAGCTATTGACGAACTGTTTGGTACTTCTAAATATCCGGATAACGCAAATTGCACTTGGATTATACGAGCACCACCAGACCAAGTTGTACAACTTGTGTATGTTTAATTATTTAGCTTAATATTTCATCTAGTTAATTTTTAATTGAGTAAATTTTACAGATTTACCAAATTTCACTTGGAAAATTTTCCATTTTATAATTCGTATTTGGATGAAACATCACAAAAATGTTATTATCATAGTGATTTAGTCGTCGCTATCGATGAGACAGATTTGAATAGTAATAATTCTCAAGAAGCCGCCTTATTTTGTGGAGTTTTAGATACAAAGTTACCAGAATTTTTATCGAAAACCAATACGGTGTATCTACAATTTGTTAGTGATTATTCGAGAAGCGGCGAAGGATTTGAGGCCGAAATTAAATTTACTTATGGTAGAGTTGTACATTTTTAATTGTTTATTAAAATTAAAATGATTTACAGTTTATTTTTATGCTATATCAATTCCTAATATTGAATAAAATAATTAATAAATGTAACATAACTGGGTAAATATTTTTATTTTTTTGAAAATTATATCGAGCTTGATTAAATAATATCGAGTACATTTTACAAGAATTCAGTAATTACCTATACGTTTCTATAGTTGAACTTATACTATTTTATATTGTCTGAATCTTTTTTACATTATAATTCAATACAATTTTTGTGTAATACCTAATTTTTTTGAGAATTAACTGAATAATGTAAATAATGTAATTATTTGAACTAAAAACATTATAAAAATACAAATTGATCTTACGGTTTTGAATTTGCAAAAAATATTTAGAGCTATAGTAGGGCATACATATTATAATGTGATAACTGTATTTGTTCAATACTGATTACGCAGACGACAGTTGAAATATTATAGAATATTCTAGAAGAGTCTCGATCGGCTCGAATATAAAGGCTTGTACGGTAATGGAGTCGGTTTCCCGTTTTTATATTATTAAAATAGTTTTTAATATAATTTTTTTTCCAAAACAACGATTTAAATATATGATAAAAATTAGTAGGTATATGTAAAATGTTATATTCATTTTAGGTGAATCCCATGGTTGTGGAGGTACTATAAGGTTAAATCAATTAAATAATACGTCTAATTATACATTAAATGCTCCAAACATAACTGTGAAAACTGATTTGGATTGTGGATGGTTAATATTAGTAAAGCCTTCACATATCGTACAAATGCAGGTGATCAGTTACACAGAAATACCAAAATGTTCTTCAAACACATCTAACTGTTTATGCAGTTCTATTCAGGTACTAATAATATTATTATTCTAAATCAAATTCTATTCAATTGTGTATTTAATATGAGATATTGACGTATACAAATTAATTATGCCATTAGATTTTTTAACTCGAGAATTTCACCTCTTGTTCTGTTGGATTAGAATCAATAACAACGTCGAAAAAACACAATTAAACAATAACATTAAACTACGATTTGTATAAAATAATCATATACAATTGTGTTATCGGTGCTTTGTAGATATGAAAATTACTTAATCAAGTTAATATTAAAACTAATTGTTTTGTTCATTTTTCATTATGTACCTACAAGATATTTACTGAGTTTGTAATTATTATTATATAATATGTAATTAAATTATTATTTGATATTTTTTTTTTTCACTCATGTTAACAGCTCAATGTTAAGTAAATTAGGTTACATACATAATAATTAATAAGGTTTTTAAAAATGTCAAATTAATGAATCGAGTAGGTAGATAGTTAATTATTCTCGGTTGACTTGCGCAAACGTGATAAAATAGTTTTTATATGGAACATCGATAAAGCACTATAGTATTTGATGGTTAAAAAAAATATTTCACACTTTATTACTAACTATAATTTAATTTCAATGGTCTAAACTTTAGTTTTATGATGGTCCTGGACGTTCAGCATTCAAAATCCGTCAATACTGCTCAGGAAATGTAGACTATCCTACATTATTATCGTCTGGTAGTAAAGCATTTATTAGATATTCAAGCATTGCTTCAGACGCAGATATACGTTTTGAGATAAAAATAACACCAGTGATATGTAAATTATTAATTAATATTTAAAAATAAAATGAAATATTTTAATTGACAATTGTTTCTATTTTAATAGCGATTTGTGGTCCGAATGTATTGGCTGTGACCAACCAGTCACAAGTATTAACGTCTCCAAATTATCCATTACCTTATGTGAACGATTTAATTTGTACATGGGATTTACAATTGGAATCTTTTAGCCAATCTCTTATGTTACGATTCACGGATTTGAATTTAGAGAACACCATTGACTGTTCATCTAATTATTTGGAAATAAAATACTTGCCGGTGAATATCCCATTGAAAATAAAATGTAATATTAGCCTTTTTATTTGAAAATACTTATTATGAACTAATGTGTATTTAATAAGCGTATTGCTTATTATTATTGTGGATTATATTTATATTTCTAACAACTATTTGATTAATGTATGATTCGTAGTATTACATTTTAATAATATTTGCATACCTCTATTTATATGTTTCTATAATAATATAATAAAACAAATTAAATTACAATTATCAAAATAGATGATTGGCATAAAAAAAAAAAAAAAAAAATAATAAAATAAAATAATAACAGTGTATTCTACGATAAAGATGATACGAACTATTTCAAATATATAACCTTAAATTTTATTCGAATATAAAACTTAACTGCATAAACAATTTAATATTAAACTTAATTTTGAAAAACTTTCACCCCTATTTTTAAATTTAAATTTGAATTAAATTGTTTTTCTAAACAACTGCGGTTCATAAAGTTTTTTCTATTTTAGAAATTAACTTATTGAGTGTGATTTAAAGTTTCGATTTTTATATGTTCTATTTGTTGTGTTTTTTAATAATCTATTTAAATTCTTTTAAATTCTATTAATAATAATAAAAAAATAAAAAAATGAGTGTCTTATTATAGAAAATAAGTAAAATTTTGTTTTAAGAATTTTAATTTCTCAGAAATAAATAAAATATTAGGTTTTTAGGCTGCAAAAAAAACTCGAATAAAATTGAGGGTGATACGTTTGGAATATTTTGTCTTTGTGTTACCATAATCGTAGAATATGCCGTATTATTACATATTATATAAATCAAGTATTAAAAATATAATATTTTCTTTATAAATTTATATTTAGTGGATTAAATCGTCTTACAATACTATTCGTGTTTGCCACGAAAATCATGTATTTGATATACAAGTTGAACATTCGAAAGTAACTAAATTGATACTACACACAGTAGTCGATCAAAAAATACCAAAAGGCTTTAGATTAGAGTATATGACCAAAAGTAAGTACTTAATATAGTAGTAAATATAATTATTATTAAAAATACAATGAATTTTAATCATAGGATGCCCAATAACATATACAAAACGTTATGGATACATTCATCATAAATATGATCAAATAATACCAATGGGAGAAGAATGTATATTCATGATAAACTTAGCTCAATCAAATTTAACAATTTCTTTATATATTACAACGTTCATCTTTATGGGACCACCGTCATCAAATATGTCTAATTACTTAAAGGTAAATTTGGTATTAATTGTAGCTGTTAATTTTTAGTGTTTTATATAAATTTAATTTTAGATTTATGATGGGCCGTCTGTATTATCACCACTAATAAAAACTTTGAACAATACCATTTCAATTCCTCTACCTGTATTTTCAACAGGTTCATCGTTGACGATAGCGTTTAAAACATCAGACAAATTTATTGGGATATTGGATATGAGTTATACTTCGACGGATCAAGGTAAAATTAGTACAATATCATATTATGTTGTTCATAATTTGCAAGATTGAAAATTAACGATTTAAGAATTTTAAGTTAAGTTAAAAAGTTATTTAATTTTAATTTTTTAACTTAACTAAACTTTTGGGTTTTCGTTAATTTAACTACCTATTAATCGTAATTATACTCAATTAACGAGATATAAATTAGTTTAAATTTAATTTTTAGAAGTTAAGTTCATTTACTTTATTTTAATTTAATTTAATTACATTTTAATCGATTTTTTTTACTGACGAAAAAAATCTATTAATTACTATAAAAAAGTACCGTATAAACACTTTATAGTTCTGAGTTGGTAAAAAATAAAGTAGGATAATTTTAATACACAATATTCGATATTAACTTAGTTTGAGTTAAAAAAAAAAAATAAAATAAAATAAACATTGATTTCCTAGCTTTGATAAACTGTGTATTTTACTGCTATTTCGAATACAAATATAGGTAGAGGTTGTGGTGGAAGAATGTTTAATATGGATGGCACGATTGTAAGTCCAATGTTTCCTATGGTATACAATAAGAACTCAACATGCAGGTGGGATATCACGGTTCCTAGACCATATTCTATTACGATTCAGTTTAAAGGTATGTACGCAAAATATATTGTTGAAGTTTGATTATTAATTATTTATCGATGTATAATAATTATATTTTGAATAGTTTTTTAATTAGTCATACTTGTAAGTATTTAAAGTTTTAATAAGCAGAGTATTTATCAAATATTTTTCTGAATTTATACACCCTCATAATGTCACTCCACTTCCATCTATTTATTTTTTCGAATTAGTCGTTTTTTATCATCAAAATAATCAGTTAACATATTCTATATTAAAAATTTATTTTAAAAATCTGTTGTCATTATAAAAATTGAATATTCACTTTTTATACAGTAATTATCGACTGTATCTCTACATTGAGTAAGTATATAATTGAGTTGTTTATTTTGAATTCAATGATAATTATGATATATACAATAAAAACAATTTTAAGCGAAGACCACTTATTAGCCTATTTATATGATACGTATATGACGTATTTTCGATATTTTATGACCGCTATATGAAAAACTTATGAGAAGTATAAATTAAATTTTCTTACTCATAAACAAAAATGTCATTATAATACATATTAAGTATAATTATAACAAAAAAAAAAAAGGTTCAACACTTAAAATGTATATAAAAAAGTCAAAAAGAACTTAATTTTTTTTTAAATTGTATAGTGCCTAAAAAATGTGGATTTAATTATTTTTCGACATTTCCAAGTCAATTGTGATTCATCGTATACCATCGTATTCATTTAATTAAAATATTGATTTTGTCTTTTTCAAGCTATAGTAAATTATGTTGTACTATTGATATCGATTTTTTTTTTTTAATTTAGTGTTTAACCTTGGTTCAAGAACGACATGCAACACTGATTATTTAGAAATGTACAACGTCGATCAAAAAACGGGAATGTCGTCGTTTGTTTCAAAATACTGTGGCGGAGTGAGTTTATTAGCTGTTAATATAATAATATAATAATAAAAATGTATCGAAATGTCGTTAATTTGGCCGTTTCGTACGATTGTTTAGGATACTCCAGCAATTCACACCAGCGAAACAGGAGCAGTTTTCGTTCGTTACGTGACAAGCACATACAACACCGGCACGGGTTGGATATTGCACTTTAATGAAAAAAGTTATCCTTAGAATAGTGATATATTGTTTATAAATTATCTACGAGTAAAATTAAAATATTAAAATAAATGATTCTGATTTTTTTTGATATTTTAATTATCTATCATATTTTTTCGTTAAATGTAATCCAATATTTTACATTTTTAATCAGACTAATAAGGATCATAAGTTGACAGGCTTAAGATTTATGTGAATTTTTTATACATTCATTCATTATATCTAAACTCATATGTTGTACACTGTGATAAATCATGGGCGGTGGTAAACTCTCCCGATTTTTAAAAATAGTAAACTCTCTCGATGGTAAACTTTCCCGGGTTAATTATGTTTACCCGAAGTAAATGTGTAAACTCTCCCGGGTCAACTTTATAGTTACCTGTAGGAAGTATGTAAACTCTCCCGAGTTGTTTTAAATGTTATTTTTAAATTTTATTTTTTATTGTATTTTGACTATAATATCATGTTCATAGCAGCTAAAGACATTAATTTATATTGTTATTATTATTTACGATTGACTATTTTTAAACGCAACTTAAATGTATATTAAATTTATTTTATGATTTTTACTAGACCTGGGAGAGTTTATATGTTTCCGTTAGGTAGTACAGGAATAAATCCGGGAGAGTTTACACGTTTCCGTCAGGTAGTACTGGAGTAGACCCGGGAGAGTGTACCATCGGGAGAATTTACCATCGGGAGAGTTTACAATCGCTCTAAATTATATCTTGGTGTAGTTTGGAAACTATTTGACTCATTATAATATGATAAAATGATATCATATTTTGTTAAATTTTATAGCTAAATTTAAAATGTTATAAGGAAAATTATAATAATAAGATTCGTCAGTCGTCACCAACCGTAGTATTACTTCAAATCGGAAACATGAAGTAGTTTAACTTCGTTAATTTAATTCAAAGTTAAATAAAAATGTGTTAAATATCTTGTATTACTAATACTTAAATATTGTGTTTCATTACAATAATGAGAGGTATTTCTATTTTAGTAATGTTTTCAACCAAAGGCATATTATTATGTATGTATAATGTAAAAATATACAAGGGCGCCCATATGGGTGGCAAAGAAGGGACATACCCCCCCCCCCCCCGAAAAATGTTGAAAATGTTGAAAAATTGTTTATACAAGATCTACAATGAGTGAAGATAGACTTGATGGATTGTGCATGATAAGCGTACATAGGGAAAAAATTTATGATAAAATGAATAAATACATTATAGAACAAGTAATAAATATATTTAGAGTTAAAAAAAGAAATTTACAATTTTTATTTGTAAATTAATATTTTAATAAATTTATGTTATTAATCAAATGAAAATTCAATAAATAACTTTTATGGTTAATTGGTTAAATAACTATTATTTCATAATCTTTCAGTTTGATATATAAAATATAAAAGTATAATGTTAAATTGTTAACCCCTTCCTATCTTATGGACATAATTAAAATTTTGCCCCCCCCCTGAGAATTTTTCTATGAGTGCCCTTGAATATATGCATATTGCATATGTTATATAAACATCACATTAAGCCTGAATTATTTTATAATTCTTTAATTAGCCCTACTGAATGATTAATAACTTAACACTTCAAATCAATCAAATGCGATCACAGAAATAATATTAATTATTTAGATGAAAACATTATTTTGTATGTAAGTATGCACAATAGTACAAGGTGCTGATAATTATTTTAAGTTAACGTGTTTAGAATATTAATCAATATTGTCATATATTATGGATATATTAGAGATATCATTCACATGTTCAACGAGTGGTCTCTATACATTCCTCTGACAAACTGCTCTTGCCCGAATCGTTGTGACTTTCCGTGATAACATTTCCTCACAGTGTGCACAGTTGGCGGGAAGTACCCGTAATCATTGTAGGTAGTCGCGTAGAACACATTGGTTGGAGTTCGTCTGGTGTTGCTGTAGTTCTGTAAACCTGTAACGTGAAACTATATTCAACATACTGTATATAATAACACAGTACTAGTATACACATCATAAATATAATATATAGTGCTTGGTGCTTTGATAAATGTTTGGACGTTTGGTAATTTTTTTTTTTAAATCTAGATAAGTTGATGACATTTGAAAGCTTTCTTCGAGTGTCTAGTTGTCAGTCATTGTCGGTGTAAATCGAACATAGATTGGCTGGTACGGTCTTCCGGTACTTGTCTGGTGTTTTTCCGCCAGTCAAAAAATGGAAAGATTGCAAAAGTTGTGTTTGAGAGTCTATAGTGTTATCAGTCACCTCAATGAGAATTTAATCTGAATGCGAAACCAGCGGACGATGGATTGCGGCCGGTACGCTACGGTATTTTTTTGTATGTGAAAAAAATGTAAAAGTTTGAACCCAAGTATAATAAAGCAACCATGTATATGTATTGTACACGTACAGTTGATGTAGTCGATACGATTTTTTAAACTATTATTAATACGTCTATTCACTCTAGTTTTTCTATTAATATTATATCCATGTTGATATCATATAAAAAACCGTGTTTAAAGTATATAATATCCTGTGCTTACCTGGATATTCAAAACGAATAGGTAAGTTATGTGTTTTGTAAAAGTCTGATGTTTTTTCCTGGATGTCGTCTGAACTATCGTCTCTATTTTCCATGTTGGAAAAACTAACTACGTGCTGCGCACCATACCGACTAAATAAATTATAATATTGATCTAACTACGACCCTTTCGAAAATACCCATCATGGAAACCACTGCAGTTATACCAAATATATTTGTTTTATTAGTCGTTAGTTCGGCTATCTTGTTGTATGCGCTCTACCGGCGACATTACGACTGCAGTATGCGCTCTATCGTTTGATTGCACTTTAATGTTTTTACCACTCTAATTGTAAGTAATATAAGTAATTATTTTTATTACACCATATATACATATACAGGTGATAGGTATAAGCATTAATTTTATATACAGATAAGTCGAACTATAGAAATATTTGGAAACCGTATTTTTAGATTTATTTTATTCCGACAAGCATCGCAGTTTAGATAATTTTGAAGATAATAATATTATCTGGGCCGACACGGATTATGATTACAATTTATAGATTATATATAGATACACAATATATTTTCTACATTTACTAAAAGATTTTTAAAAATTAAAAAATTAATAACTGATTTTTCGTTTTGAAAATTATGGTATAAAATTATTTTGCAAGCATATTGAAAAGTGAAAATCAAAAACCATGTAAACCCAAGAACTGTCAACCAATGACTAAATACATGATCAAAAATTATATCATGCAGTTAAAGAGAGTGATAATTGTTATTACTTATCAGCATTAAGTCACGATAGTAAAGATAAATTGGGTAGTAGAGCGCATACGACAAGCGTGCCGTAATTGCAAGTAGACCACGATCTACAATAGAATGCATACGACAAGATAGCCATTAATTCAAAACACTTATATTGAACATTCGAAGATATTAAACATATAAATATAAAGCCAAGCCTTCAGTGGTCACAATATTGAATATGGTGATCTATGATTATTAATAATAGAATATATTTTAACCATGTACGATTACTTTATTTTGAATAATGGTACACCGTTTTTTTTTTTTTAAATGTTTTTTTTGTCTAGCAAAATATTTTCAATGAATTTTGGAAAGCGGAATCTATAGATTTTTTAGCGTAAAATTGTTTTTGTAAAAATAAAGTTAAAAGATTGAAGATGTTTTTTGAAGTTGTAGTATTGTGCGTTAACTTTGTTCCAGTCATTTTTTTTCGATAGATGGCGTTGCTGTTATAATTTTTTGTATTTATTTTTAATTTTACAGATTTTCGTATCAAACGATTGTATACGATGATGTTTTAATATATTTCTCATATTTTTAGTTCTGTATAGTGTTCACGGAATGATATGATCTTACAGAGGTTTCTCAGCTTACACGAAATAATGTCAGTTGTAGGTAGTAGTATATAGCGGAAAGGTGACCAGGATCAGTAGGTATGCTCTTTTAGTAGCTTATTAGTGAGTAATAATTACAGAAAAAAAAAAATGTTAATTATTTAAAGTGATGCATATATAATTTAAAAATGTTCTTGCTACTGCCGATACATATAAAAAAAAAATTAAAAAATATCTGCTGGTTAATATTAGCATCACCATTATCGGACAATAGCCGACTAATAAACAACGATATTCATAGATTATTATTGGTAGTGGGTACCCGAAATCTAAACGTTATTTAATAATATACAATATCTATAATCTATATTTTATGTATGTTTACTGAAAACTAGTTAATCAAAAACTGCTTGGACCCATAAAACAAAAACTAGTTGGTCGACATTTTATCTTTTTACAAAACGAGTTTTTCTATACTTTACCATGGTTTATTTAAATAGCTAAAAAACTACTAGATTCATCCACATTCGATCAATATGATCACTACCTAAAATGGTCTATAGTGCTTATCTTAAATTGATCATACAAAATAGTCACAAAAGTGTAAAGAATTTAAATATTAGTACTTAAATACTTGTATATTTAGTACTTATGTTTTTTAGACTTTTATTTATTATTTTATTATAAGTACTATAATTTCTAATATCTATCGATTGAAAATATATTATACGTATAATTTTTTTTGAGTTACTTTCATATCTTTACAAAATTGGTTATTATATAATAACATAATTAAAGCATTAGAAATAATATAGGTTATGACGACAATGACAATCAAAAGTTTTGAACAAATTACGCCTTTTTAATATAATATCTATTTAGAGATATATAATAAGGCATAGTATATACATTTTTAATACATCAATTATATATTTACTCAAATAAACAAGACATTTTTTGACATTTTTAAATTTTATTTTTCATATTAGCAATAAGCTCAAAAACTGTGAAATTAATAACATATCTTTAATTTATTATTGATATTATTTAAATATTGTTTAGTTTTTAATTGTATACGATTAAGTATTTATTGCAGATCAACAAATTTCTTTTACCTACACCGTTTCTTAATTTATGCGTATAAACTATTATTTATTATGATTGCCAACGGGCTAAAAATGTATTTAGTCGTATGAAAATGAGTAAAGTATGCTTTGAACATAAAAAAAATATATCTATAAATAATATTTATTTTCAATTAAAAAAAAAAAAATAAATAAAACATAATACTGTGTGTAGTAAAGGGATAACAATAAAGCTATTGTTTTTTTGGAAATATTATTATCTTATTTTTAATATCACTTAAAGACAGTAATTAAAATTATCCGATAATTGTGGAATAGCATATATACTTAAGAGCGATGACTTGATTGGTTGTATGTAAAAATCTTTTTTTTCATGTTTCTTTCCAATTAAAACATTCTTTCAAGTTTCTTGCAATGTTGATTAATTTGACAATATTATCATTATTGGTAAAAAAATATGACACAGCATCAATTTACATTTAATTATTTTGAAGTTGTTTTTAACTAATATACTATATTGTGGATTAATTGTTATATTTTCTATTAAAGGCCTTTTATTATGAGGTCCTAAAATAATATTGGTTTTTGGTTTTATTTTAGTAGACTGTATAGCTAAATTACTTCCTTCGTGGTATCTTTTTACAATTTGTTGTAATGGCTTGTCTGGCTTTCTAAGCATTGTCTTTAGAATTTTCATGTAATTTTCAAAAGAAAATTCACTACATACATCTTAAGGTCCATACTTTGATAATTGTCAACTAAATGGATTAGCCATGAACATTACTAAATACCAAATGTCGTCCATAAATTTGTTCAAATGGTTTTACAGAATATTCTAAAAGATCTCATACGTATTGGACATATTTACTAAGACCTGGTGTTAAAAGTAAAGTCATAGCTATACTTAGAGCAATAAAGTTTTTAGAACCGTAAGATAAGAATATAAGATAAAATTATTTTGTATTATATGATTGCTATTTATTGTTTAACGTTTAGAGTATTTAGACGAAAACTGAAACAGTGAAACATGCATTCATACGATACATTTTTAAGGCATAAGCTACATAATGTCTATTTTTAAAAGAAAAAAAATTTAAACCCAATGATTTACAATGATTTTCAAATGATTGGTGAAACACTGAAATCAATTTTACAAGAAACTGGAGGGCACTTCCTAGCATCTCTCTCCATATGTGACACCTACAAATTATGTTTAACCTTACCTTAAATTTTCATCTGCAAGGCCTCAGTCCCCTTGCCACCTTGACCTTTAATTTGTCTATTTTTAATTAAATGTGCACCGCTTATCACTACTAATCATAAAAAATATTAAAATAATATTGTGTACTTTGATTGATTAAGTAATTATACCAGTACAATAGACATTGAGGGACTATCTTTACTATATATTATCATAATTCACAGTAAAGATTATCACATAGATATATTTGTTATCTTATTTCATTGTACAGTATATATTAAATATTATGATTTATATAATTTATAAATTTTATAAGTTTTATGGTTATGTAGTTACGATTTATCATATCTATATTAGTATACTTTACTAATAAGTAATAACTAATAAGAAATTCTACAATCAACAGTTCTATAATCTTTACTGTAATTAAAATGGGTTCACATAAGATTAATAATAAAAGGAAAATGGTATAACTGGGATGAAAGATACAAAAAAAAAATAAAAAAATATTTTAAATCTTCAGATCCTGTAAAAAAAATTGACGACATATTCCAACAACGAAATTATAAAGTTGAAACAAATATTGCAGTAAATCGAGTTAGTTGTTCTAAACTACACTTTAAACACTGTCATAAAACAATTATCTACTTATCTATAAATTATAATCTATAGACCTATTATTATATTTAAATATTTTTCAATTATTTGGACCGGGATAATGATATTGTATCGGATGTATTGAAAGATAATAGAGTTGATGACAATTATTCTTATTATGCCTTAATTTATGATTTAAAAGTAAAAAATCAAAATGATACACGTTTTTTTAATGATAATCAAGTAGATATAATTGTTGTCAAATAGTATTACATCTATTTTTTTTATTATTTACTATTATACCATTATTTTATACTTATATTTATTGATATAAAAGTCGTTATATTAATAAACTATTATATTTCCATTTTATTACACGTACCATTTTATGTTTTAATCATAAATTCAGCTTTAAATTATTAATTTATATTTCCTCCCCCCTTTTTTTTTTTTTTTTTATATTCTAATTTCAAATATAGGTTTGTGCAGTGAAAATACAAGAAACGTTTTTTTGACGATTGGCTTAGTGGTGGAAAAAAAATGACCTCTTTATTTTTTTTTTTTGCACCCCTTTAAAAAAAACTTAAATGGCGTCCCTGTTTATAACTTTCAAATGTATAGATAATCTAGATACTAAAATATTACCGTTTTGTTATTTCAAATTGTATATACGCTATCCATTGTTTATTTAATTAATCAAATAAAATTCGATGAATGTTTCAAAGTTCCTTCTTTTTTTTTTTCATTATTTAATATTGAACAGAATGTTCATAAATATGTTATTTCTACGAAATTTATTGTTATAGACTAACTCGGATTTCATTAAAAACACATGTTGTAGGTAGGTACTTAACAAGTAAACATGCTATCGCATATTGTGGACTAAAGATTTTTACCGAAAATCGGGTTACCACAGTAGTAAGAATGTGATTTGTAATATTATTAACTAATTAAAATGTTCAGACCTATCCAATACCTATTTCGAACAGTGTTTGACACATTAGTTTATAGTCTGGAAAACCTGTGCATTATACGTAGTATACGGAATCGACTAATAACTTAAAAACCTCTGGTCTATCAAAAGCGGTCAGGTTTTTATTATTATTATTATTATTATTTTTTTTTTTACGGTTATCGATAAGCGCTAACATTCGAATTGAAAAGTGTATGTACTACGAAATCGTATGTATTTTGGGTTACGGCACAAGACCGGAAAAAAAGTCTTGCAGAAAGCCAAAACGTCTGGCGTCCTGGGACTCGGTGGATTTTTAACCGGGGCTTAATTTTGCGAGGCCACGTATAAAATATGTACGTAGAAATAAACACACACACACACACACACACACACACACTGATTTTAGCACTGCGGATCAAAAAGTAGTGCATAATATACAAGTCAATTATTCTGGTCGCGTCAAAAACAAACCGTGAGATAAACTTATATTATGTGCCCCGGTCGAGTGTAAACTCAAACGGTAAAATGCGCATCAAAAGTCGATTCGCATTCGATCGCGAACGCCGTTCCGTTTGTCGTCGCGCGCAACGAGACGGACGTCGATAACACACACACACACACACACACACACACACACACACACACACACACACACACACACACACAGATA